GACTCTTGAAGTCATACTTCAAGTTGTTTTAAGAAAAGTATTAAGACTTTATTAGCAAAAAAGTATAAAAACTTCTTACAAACATCTTTTTTGTATGTGATTAGAGGATTAGTGAAAAGAGTTTTTTAAAATTATCCACAATTGTTTTTTATTTTTAAAATAATTGATTTATAATATTGGCTATAAGAAGATCAAACCTATACAAACAAGTGAGATGTATTGTATGTAGCCAATAAGATGAAACTATAGAACACTTGCTAGAATGTTTAGTCTATGAGAATCAATCAAAAGAGACATGGAGTAAAGGAGTAGATAAAATTATCAGAAACTTTAAAAAACTACTAGAGAAAAGAAAGAGAGAGGCTGAAGAGAAAAATCTCAGGTTAATTATTGATAACTGAGAAGAGATAGAAGAGTTTGACAAATGGATCTCTAAAGTAATAGAACAGACTTTTAAAACTAGTCAGGATACACTAAGCTTCTGTATTTGTCTTATAATAATAGATATTATCCTAAAAATAGTAAACCTAAAGTGTCAAGGTAAATATATAGGAAGAATAGCAAGAAAATGGATAATAAAAATGCAAAGAAGAGTCTATAATCAAGTCTGAAAAGAAGTTTGGAACAAGAGATGTAAAAAGGTAATTAAATGAAAAAAAATACAATAAATTGATAAAGAGAACAAGACAAAAAGACCTTTATATCTTTTAAGCTGGAAAACTATACTTCTGAAGAAAAAAGATCTATTACTAAAAAAAGAAAACCTCGAAGATGAAGACTTCCAAGAAATTCTAAAAAGAAGAATAGAATATAGAATGAAATAGCTGGGTTTTAAGCTTTGTCAGAATCTCGCAGAGTGATCTGTAGTAGTGACCTGCAAGCAATGAAATTAACAGTTAAAAGAGTCTTTACCTAAACTATTAATAAAGTAATAAATTACTTCCAAAATTGTACTTAGAATTTTAATAATTCTTTAAAATAAAGATGGATGAGTTAGATAGAAACTTAGCTTTAGCGATACATTCTCTAATGTAAAGTATACATATGTTTAATAAAGCACACATACCTAGTCTGACAGAGGGTTCAAAAAAAAAATAAAATAAAATAATTGATTTATTTGTTTCTATTAATGTAAAGACTATAAATTTTGTTTTTCAAAAAAAAATATAAGTAATCTGTAAAATTTTATAAGCTAAATATTTTAAGGACCCATCATTATTGGATAGTTATATATTTTTCTTTATTCTGATGGATTAGACTTAAATTAAGATCTATTGATAGATAGCTCTCTATACTATTACCTTTCTAATAATTGTAATATTCTTAAATAGTATAAAAGAAATATTCATTCCAGTTGTTCCTAAATATGATATTTTATTAATAAAGTATGGAAATGAACATAGGATAAGTCAGTTTTAAAATAAAAAAATAAAATAAAATAAATAAATTAATTTTACTTTTGTTTAATAAAGTACACTCAACCAACTAATAGAGAGTTATAATTAAAAAAAAAAACTTAAATTAACTTTTTTTACTAATTCTTTAATAATATATAAAAATAATATTTACAATATTTTTATATTAATAAAATGTTGCTATTTTTCTTTAAGTTTTTTGTATAAAAAATATAAAGAGAAGAAAAGTAGAAGCAATTTTGAAAGTTTTAGAAAAAATGTCAAAACAACTAAAAGCATAATTTTCTATTTACTATTTTTCCTATCAATTTTGGGTGACACGAATCTTATCAAAGATAATTGATCAATACAAAAAAAACACTTTTATGACCATCCGCTGTATTATGAACAAAAAACGACCAACAAAACTTGATCCCGATCTAGAACTTATTAAATCTGACGATGTTTGTGATAAAAAACGTTTCAAGAAAGACCCGAATGAAGACCTTTATAAACCCGAAGTTCTCGAGATAGAAAAAGGAAAGAGTATTCTAACGGAGGAAGCTATGTCAGACGAGTTTGCTGCTGCCATTAGCAAAATCCTGAAGAGTTCTGTCAAATCGTCAGATCAAAATGTATTGGTTATTCTAGCTACCGGATTTTTCGTGAAATATTTCGCAGACTAAGTCGAATTTATATCATTTAGTCACCAATTTTATCACGTTCTAGAAGTATTGAACGAGAACTTGACGAAGCAAAGCTTGAATATCGCGCGCGCAAAGTTATTAATATGGAGAAGAAAAAATCCGCCTCTAAAGACCGTGTAAAAACAGATTTTGCTACTATAGATAAAGAAAGGAAGCTAAGAAAGGTTGCTACGAAAGGCGGTAAGTTTTATCACGTGGTTTTCTTAATAGAATAAATTTATATTTAACATTGATTTCTTTTAAAAGTCGTACAATTGTTCAATGCGATCCGTATATCACAAAAAGTTGTGGATGAAGTAGTGAAAGAAACCAAAGGAAGACAAAAATTAACATCAATGGAAGCTAAAGACGGTAAATATTTCTATTTGATTATTAAGTTTTTAAAAATTATGAAGGCGTTATTTAATTGTTTTTTTTTAATTAAGTGGCAAATATGTCAAAAGACACTTTTTTAGAAATTTTAAAAGGAAGTTGATAGAGATCAAATTTTAATTAAAAAATGTAAATAGAAATAATATAATATAATTTTTATATGATACATAATATCTGCAATAAATAGTAAAGAAAAATTATTATATTTGTTTAAAATTAAATTATTTTTGTATATTAAACAAACTTATTTATAAACTTTTATTACTTCCAAAAGTTTGAATCATTTACTATATTTTTATTATAAATTTTAACTTTGTCAATGTTAAATTTTTAATTATACAATCAAAATTATAAAATTTACATATATTATGTTTTAATACTTGTTATATTTATTTTTTTTTAATTCACAATTATACTGTAATAACATGCATTTATTTTGAAATTGATTAGAGATCTAATATAAGCATAGATTTTTTATAATACAACTAACTTGTTTTTATACAAAAATATTTTAAGTCTGATTTAAGGAACAATATTATATTTTTCTAACTAGATTAGATTTATCTTTATCTATTAGGATTATTAACAGCTTGTTACTATTGATTGATATAAAAATTATAAATTACTAAGATTAAAAAGAAAAGAGAAATAATAAAATAAGAAAAAATGACAATTCAAGATTTATTAAAAAAGTTTAACAATAAAAACAATATCTTTTCAAAAAGGATTTAATTAATTAGAATAGTTTTTTTGTTTTATTTGAATTTTAGAAAAAGTTTTCTTTATTATGATTTATAGTATTAGATAAGTAAATTTAATTAATTTTTTATTTAAGTAATATTAGATTGAAATATCTCAAGAAAAGTATTTAAATCTTAACTTTTGTTTAATTAAATTTTGTTTTTATCTAAGAAATATAAATAAAAAATAGGTGTTTCTTATTTATATTATTCTTTTCTTGATTTTTTAATATTATAAATAATTTTATTAGAAAATTTAAACTTTTAGAAATAATTATTTTTAAAATATTTTTTTTAATTACTAATAAAATTATCAAAACATATGAATATGATCAATAAAAGCTTGTTTATATTTCAAAAGCTAATATATTTTATATTAATCAATTATTTTTAGTAAGTATTTGTACTATTAAAAATTTAAGATCAAAATAAAATAGAAAAAATTTCTTAAAAAATTGTAAAAGTGAAAGTTTTAAGAGAACCAAGATAGTCAAAAAAGAGAAAAATAAGTTTTTTTATTATATAAAATCCCTATCAACTTTTTATTTCAAAAATTGAAAAATTTTTTAGATACTTTATAATTAAATCTCTAAAAAAGAAATAAAAATAAATGCAAATGTCTTTTACTAAAAAACATTAAAATTTTTAAATTAATTATTATAAAAAAACTATTTAGGATAGTTTTTTATTACTAAAACATTTAATTTATAATATTTGAATTTTGTTCTTATTAAAATAAAAAGTTATAAATTTTGTTTTTCAAAAAGAAACATAAATAATCTATGAAATTTTGTATATTAAATATATACAGTATATATTTTTTAAATAAGTTAGCTCATTCCTGTACTAGTATCAGAACCTTTATTAATTATTAAAATAGATTTTTTTTTTTTTTTTTTTTTTTTTTTTTTTTTTTTTTTTAAATTAACCCTCTGT